AAACATCTGGTGGAACTGCACATCTGCTGAGCTCATCATACAAGCTGCTTCTCAGTGCAAAGCTGGTAAAAACATTGCTGAAGTAAATAGGTAAATAGTAAATAGTTTTCTGTGCTAAAGAGTTGAAAAAGGAATGACGTGATGACTTCCTGAAGGCGAGGTTTCAGAAAGAACAGGAGTTTTTAAAGAGACAGAGGCCCAATTTCAAGGAATTAAATTGTTGAGTCAAAATTTTTTTTAAGTCATATTTGTTATATATAGCATATATTTTTAATAAGTGAAACAGTTACTTGGTTGTGCTTTAAAATGGCACTAAGTACATAAAAAATAAACAACACCGCCCCTTTAAAAAGACTGCTTCTCATGTTTTAGATTGTAACAAATACAAAAATATGTTCTATATTTTTGTATTTAGGTTAGGTTGGAAATTAGGTTGGAATATGTAATATAATTTTTATGTCAGATTTTTATTAGTTATAAGCAGAAAATCCTCATAACAGCAAACAAACTAGAGTTTGGTCAAAGCAGACAGAACAAAGCTGGTGTGAGGGGCCAATGTTTATGAGAAAACATTTATCAAGAGGAACAAAGACGGCAACTCATATCAAACGTCTTCTTTCTTTGTGCTTGTTTCTTGGGGATTTTCTTTCCCCTTTCCTCTCCGTAAATATATAGTTTTCAATTAGTACGCTTTCATCATCAGCTTAAAGTGGAAATCTCTTTGAAATTGGAACATAAAATTCCTGAATATAACCCATTTAGGCTGCTAAGGCTTTAGGGCTATGCTGAATTTACATTCCTGTCTACTTTTCCCATTTATTGTTATCTCTGCTGAGTCAACACTTACACAGGTATGATTTACTCATCTGTTCCTTTTTTGTGCCTTTTTTCCAGGGCAGTAAGTTTCTGCACTTACTGTCATTCCATTTCTAAAACAGTTTTGCATCTCTACACTGAATGCCAGAACTCTGACTATTTCAGTGGTCAATTCAAATAATATTCGACTCAAACTTGATGCATATTTAAATTCTCTAAGTGTGAAGTTCATTTCATACTTATAAATTATGAATGGAACTGTTACAATCTTAAATGCATTTCAAAGTAAAATTTTAGTACCTCTATCTTAATTTTATGAATACTTGTTTTTTATTCAGTCATAAAATTCAGGATATTTGTATTTCCATGTAGTCGATCTCAGGGATCAGACGATAATGCAGTATCCATCAAGTATATGTTAGACCCTAAACATTTTATCAAATCAACACTATGCATGTAGAGGATAGAAGAACAGTTAAGTTGCTGAGATGCAGTCAAATAAATTTTCCTTCATTTTGCTCAGACATTGAGAAAATCCTGTTGTAAGCAAAGCCGATTCTCAAAACCAAACATGCAGAGTCATTATTAATCTGTACAAAGAGAAGATGAATATTACATCTGTCCACTTGATGAGCTTTGCTGGTGGTCTGGTTTTTAAACTGTCTCTCCTAGCATTAGCATTAACTGTTTGTGTTCTCCTCGCTTATATATGAATTGTTGCTTTAAATCCAATATTCATGTTATGTTGTCGTCCTGTGGCAGGAAAAGCAGGAGAGTTGTGCTAAACAGAAGTAATATCTGGAGGAAATATCCTAATTGTGTTATTGACCGTATTTATTCAAAGTTGGGGCTTGAAAGTTAATGAGATATAAACAAACTAAATCTGTGAGTTTTGCAAACCAGTATACTATGTTGCTGTTTTGGATGAAATAAGCCGCTAACACAAGCTTCTGCCATGTACATCAGTTTGGGCGAAATACCCTTTTGTTCTCTCATATCTACACTGAAAAATAATTAAACAGGGAAATCCTGCCCATCCCACATAGGATTATATCAAATAATCTAATCAGAGAAAAACAAGAGCCTCTGGGCTAGCATGCAACAAAAGGTAACAAACAAATTAAAAGACACTGTATCTCAAAACAGCACTAAGTCAAAACATCTGTTATTAATCTCTCATAAGAGAAGAGGCCCTATAGCAGTGGGCTTTGAACATACATTACAGCAGGGATTTCATTTCTTTAATTTTTATTTTTGAAAACATATTTCACAAAACAAAAACATTAAAATACACTTAAAGAAGATCTTGTCCATGTCTTAAAGGAGTGTTTGCCAATTAGCGGCTTCTGGTTCATTCACTGTCCAGTCAGCTCATTCCAACAGAACAAAGATAACAAATTAAACAAAGTAAATCAACTGTGAATTGATTCTCATTTTGCAATAGGTAAAACTTCAGGAAAGTTATAAACATAACAACTATTATCCAACCTTTGACAAAATAAACAATGCTAACCAAATATAAATGATCCTGGAAGAAGATTTTATATTATTGCATTAAGTTCATATATATATTGTCCTCCCATCATGGGAGCACAAGCCCCTACCTGGAATGTACCACCAGCAAATAATCGAAGTGGCTGATATCAGTAAATCCTACCAATGGCTGGAAAAAGCTGGACTCAAGGACAGCACAGAGGCCCTCATCCTGGCCGCCCAGGAACAGGCCCTAAACACCAGAGCAATAGAGGCCCAGATCTACCACACCAGATGAGATCCTGTGGGACTTCCAGATCCAGACAGACAAAATGGTAATGGCGAGCCAACCAGACATTGTCGTAGTGGATAAACAACAGAGGAAAGCTGTTATGGTAGATGTAGCAATACCAAGTGATTGCAACATCAGGAAAAAGGAGCACGAGAAACTGGAGAAATACCAGGGCCTCAGGGAGGAACTGGAGAGGGCCTGGAAGGTGAAGACCACAGTGGTGCCTGTGGTCATCGGGGCCCTCGGGGCAGTAACCCCAAACTGGAGCAGTGGCTACAACAGATCCCAGGAACAACATCAGACATCTCAGTCCAGAAATGTGCAGTCCTTGGCACAGCCAAGATACTGCGCAGAACCCTCAAGCTCCCAGGCTCTGGTAGAGGACCCGAGCTCAGAGGATAAGAACCACCCGCGGTGGGTGAGAAGGGAATTTTATATATATATATATACACTCTGAACTGTTAACATGTGACCAATAGACTAATAGCACTCTGTGAAAACTGTGAACCTGCAGAAAGAAATAAAACATAACGTCACTTTCACAGCACAGTCATCATTATCACATGACTGTGCTAATGATGGTGAAGAGACAAAATATCACTCTTTAAATATGTGTAACTTAAACAGTCAATTCATGTCACCTTTGTTTCAGTTCATGATTTGAATATTTGAAGAGCCTTAGAAAATCATCAATTCCCTTTGTCCTTCTTTGTTTTTTTCATGTTTCGACCTAAAAGTTCAGATGGTTTTCAGATTCCATGTGATGCAAAGCAGTACATAATTATAAAGTCAAAAAATATATGTATATAATTCAAATGGGTTTGATAACAAATACCAATCTGAAAAGTGATTAATACATAGACATTAACATCCTTTCATATTAGTGCTTCTGAATATCATCATACCAACATTTAAAAAGATTATTATCTTCTACACGTGTCATTTGTTTACAAGAAGAAAGAATAAGTTAATTGCAAAGTCCTGGCATGAAAATGAAAGAAAAACTGCATCACAAAGGCGAGTTAGCATGGACGGTCAATACAATTAGCATGCTAGGGCTAGAGCAGCAGGTGTTCGGTATCGGACTGCAGGTTAGCTACCTACATCAATACCCGAACTAATTAACCAGATAATAGGTCAATAAAATCCCACTGCTGTAGACTTTAACTCCTGATTTTTCTAAATGTCATTAGCTGGAATTAATTGATAAATAAGTCATCTGTATATGACAAAGATCATTGATTCATTCAAGTTATGTCACTTGAGTGGATCGTTTTGTAAAATCTGTATTTTTTTTATCAAGATGCTGTAAGTTAAAGTCATAGACAAACAATTTTATTTTAGCTGTACATACAAAATTATTTCTTTTCCTTTTCAAATTAAAGCAGTTAAATCGGGTTTTGTTGAAAATTCTTTGTGTTCAAATAAAGTTGCTCATGCTGTTAGATTGTGGCTCAATTTTCCTTTTGTAATAGAAATGTCACATCTGAACTCTTGCAAATTAGGTTAACATTCATAATTTCCTTTGAGGAATTTGTTAATATTGAACCAACTGATAGCAGAATTAAAACCACGTAACCACAGAACTTTTTCCCTACTTTTCCCACTCATGGTTTCACTTCTGATGTTTCACTGAATTATGTGTTTTTGGGGCTAATAAGAGTAGAACTAGAACTTAATAACCTTCTTGTTTTATGTGTTTTTTAAAGCCAGCAGTTCTTTGTGCTCATGGAGTCTTTGCAGTCGCGGCTTTGCTTTTATTCTCGTCCACCTTGAGACTCGCTGCTGGTCAAGAGGTGAGGAATGTCTGCAGAAAAGCCCTGCCTCAGAAACTCGAGGGAGGCAAAGAAAGGCGTTTGATGGGAAGGAATTGGACAAAGAGATAAAACGACCTATCTTGTATGATCAGGGATTTTTTTTTTCTTTATCTCACTACTGCGACCTTCATCTTTGTTTTTATGCTCCTCCATGGCATCCGGAGTGCCGTGAACTCCTCCTCTCTGTGGGTAACCGTGAGATCTTCTGGCTGAGAGCTTATAAAAGCCCTATGATTGCCGACCACCCCGGGGCTAGGCATTCACCTGACACTGAAAATGGTTTCTATGGCAACGCCCGCTCGCCAGCCACAGGCGAGCTCGATATTATACACAGGAGGCGGCGACAGGGAGCGGCTGAGCGAGGTAATCCGTTTGACAACACGATGCGCAAACACGGCACAGCTCTGCGACTCCGCTTAACGCAATCAGAGGGGATCCCACTGAGTCTGCAGCTTACCAAGCTCACTTGTTATAAAGCGTGCGGTTTCACTGCACCGCAGGGGTTTGAGAGCATCAGAACAACCGCTGAATGCTTAAAACCCGAGCAGACGACCCAAAAACCCGGAAACAAAGTGAACAAACGTAACGATGGTTTCAGTTACCTCCGTTGTCCTTTAGGGTGAAGTTGGGATTAACTGGCAGCTGGCTTGGCAGAGCAAAAGAAAATCGCTGTCCATTGGCAAAGTCGTCCTTGTCCACTGCTGTGACAGTCTGGATCAACTGAGAAACAAAAGGAACATACTTTTAAAATCATTATTACAACATTTACATTTTTTTTTCCATGCCTGTCCAGCCCAGATCACATGAATCATTCTCTTTCAAAGCTGCATTTTGCTGGAAGCATCACCATCTAGGATTTCAAAAAAAAAAGAGAAGCTCCAATTTAACAAACTCAAATGGCGGCACTCAAGATGGCAGCAGATTGCAGAAGATCTCTCATATTAGTTCTGATTTGTTTATAGACGTTTGTTTTTTTTTTTTTAGTTGAGCCTTTTTGTGTTTTTTTTGTTTTTTTTTACACAATTCTGATTTTGGATGCTGTGCAGCTGCAAGGATTTTTGCTCTTCCTTCTTTTTAACCTTTGTACAGGTGTTCAGATGTGCAACCGTGGCAACAAAGTTTTTTTTTACAACCTGGAGCAATTGCTGAACTGATTAATGTCAAAAAGATTAAATAAAACCCCAAACCCAAAGGTATTGAAGGAAAACTTAATTTGGATCTGAAACATCATGCAGTTCTGTTGTTAGGTAGAAAATCGGGCTTTATTAGCTTTATAATTGGCAGTAACTCTTTACAGTGCTAATAATTAAATGATGACAATGACTGTAAAATCAACCAATAACTCCACGCTTATAAGTTGTGGACTTTTGTATTTGAGACATTTACAACTGGATTCATTTTTCATTTGCTATGAATATCTTAAGAGCAAATGTAAACAAATATAAATTAATGTGAAGGAAATTCTATAAATTATAGAGTACAAAGCGCAGCCAGAAGAATAAGCGTGATACGCCTACATCTATTTAAAATAAATTTTTAACGCTAGAAAATTGCTGTTCCTAGCGAAACAGCCGTGAGAATGCATATTTGCAGAATGACTGCTGCAGAAAAATTTCCAAATAATAGCTACAAAATGAATATAATGTTCCCCCATGCACATTTTCTGCTGAATGCAAAGGTTTTGCTGCCTGCAAAACATTGTGATTCTTTCTATTTAATCCTCCAAGTAAGGAACCCTGAGCTTGCAAACCTTAATTTAAATCTAATCCAAACTTTCTTTTAGACTCGTCTTGACCCAGCTCCTAACTATTAAAAATGTTTTTAGTTGCGTCTTTCGCTGCTTTACTCCATCATTCTTTGCAAAACCACACTTTCAGCCATTCCCAAGCTGCTGATTGGTCTATATCTCAACAAACTTCTTAATTGAATGAATTAAAGACTACTGTGAGCAAATAGGAACAAGCTTCGATTTAGAGCTGTCATGGTTTGCTGCTGAGATACTCATTTTGTATAAGGAATGATTAAGCAGCCTCTGCAGCACCGTCTCTACAGCTCTGGTCTCGCTGAGCAACTCAAAATTTGCTGAGGGAAACAAGCGTTCAGCACAAAGAGGTGCAGTCCGGGAAATGGCTGCGGTTAATGTACAGCTCTCCACACTTTCTTCTTTTGAGTTCAAGGAAGTTTTGAACATGTGAAGCCAGAGATAGGGAGAAAAACTGTGAAGGAGTGTTTAGCTTTTTTTTTTCCTTCCCCAGATGGGTTCCAGACACTCACCTGGTCGAGCTTTGAGCTCTCGCACACAATGACTTCCTCGTTGGTTGCTATTTCTGGTGGATTGTCGTTCATGTCCAGCACCTGCACAGTAACAGGAACGTGCCTGAGCAGACTGGGGTTGTCTGTAAACAGAGAGAGAGTAGGAGGCGGAGGGAGAGAAGCCAAATTTAGGCTTTCATTGCAAACATTTAAAAACAGATACAGTGACTGCGTATGGTCCAGATACTGGAAACAAGGAATGACAAAGCTTTAAAGGTGACCCAGAAATCTACATGTTAGGATAGATTTATGTGCAAATAAAACATCTCCAAAATCAGTGTTTAGTAATCAGATTTCAGTCCCATTTTGAGCTCATTTCAAAATGAGCTGTTCATGGATCCTGTCTCTTTAAATCCAGATAAGCTGCTGCTGGCCCCCCGACTCAAGGCTTACAATCACAGGTGAAAACACCTGCAAACTTGAAAAGCAGAAATAAAGACTCCTGCACAGCCAACAGAAAGCGGTTTCTAAATAGTAAGTCAGCGACAGAACACGTCTTTTCCAGCAGCCATTGTACAGTGCATACAACGCTAAAACCAGCTGACCAAACAAACTGGATGCAGTCTCAATTGAGACTGAACATTAAGCAATAACTAATTAATCAACTTATTGGTGGGTGTTTTTCAGAGGCTGTTGTGCATAAAAATGTGCAAAATGAGAATTTTTCATATTTTAAAAATATTTTAATGTTTTTCATGATGGTTTAAGTAATTCGGCTACTCCACTTTCTCACTTGTTCCTGAAACTGCATTAAAAAAAAGCTTCTAAACTCATCTGAATTTTACTATTTTATTTAATATATAAACACTCATTTATTTGCTTATAAGGCAGCAAATTTTGGTTACTTAGAAATATCTACTGTATGTTTAAAGAATAAAACACTGCAGTGATTTTCCACCGTTTGTCTCAGTTTATCTGCCTTCAGAAAAGGCTCTTAAAGTAAAACTATCACCTTCCAGACAAATATGACCCTGAATTTGAATATATTGGTGCATAATGCATACAGTAATCGACTTGTTGCAGTGCACCAGAGGAGAGAAAAAGGTTACAAAGCATATTCCTCACTTTTAGTTGAAATTAGAAAGCCTAAAATTAACCTACCAGTGCCCCTCCCCGACTTGCTGCTGGGTACTGTCGTTTACCTGACTTAAAAATGGCTCCTAGAATTATCAGTAATTTATAGTAGCTGCCCACAAATTATGTAATAGTTTATCAACCAATATCAGATATACTGCATAGTTCACCTTTTATTGCTGGCAGATTGTGGTAGTCTTAAACAAACTGCTTAAACAACTCGGAGTATGCAGGACTTTCTGTGGCCCTGAAGTAAGGGTCCTTGAGGAATGCAGCTGCCTGTCGACCCGTGAAGCACCTCTGTCCAGGATTGCAGAGTGCTTTTACTGGGTGGCTTCCAGGAGAGATAATGATTTACGGTAAGAGTGTGCAGTAGCAGGGCTGAGGTGAAACACTGCGTTTGCTCAGCAAAAAATATCACTAACAGGAAAAAAAAAAAATCTTCAGGTGCTCAAATCCTCAAGGAATTCCTAGTTCTACATATATAGTTTTTTATTTTGTCTTTAGGAATCTGTGTGTTTACGTGTGCATGCGTAGGTGTCTGTCTTTTGTTTTGCTAGGTCTAATAAAAGTTTAAAATGGGATTTGCTGTTTTCAGACAGTTCAGTGTCTGCAGTGGGGATCCAGGAGAATGGCACACAAATGCAGCAAATAAAAGAAGAAAACAAATGACATCTATATTTACATTCAAATTTAAATGGAAATAAATTCAATGTTCTTCTATAACAAAATTAAACGTGTCAATAATTTATTCAAGGTAAAACTGCAATCCCCCTCAAACTCTAACAGGAGTTTTGCTTTGCAAACTCTCCAATTCTTTTTCCGCTTTTGGCTTTGTCTATGAACTTCTAACCTCTGCAAGACAGTTTGCAGCATAAAAACAGTTTTGTTTTCTTTATGTAGCTGTGTTATATTGCTGAACATTAAAGAGAGATGAAGAGATAAACATTAGCATGCATGACCATTGGCTGGAGATTTGCCTATTTGTGATTACAAATTATTCAACTCACCGGAGGTTCGGGGGCTTCATTGATTTAATTAGTTACCAGACTAGGAAAGGACATTTCAACGTTAGAGACTGGTTCAATTTTATAGGTTATCCAAGAGAAATGTACTCCAACATGTTTAAATACAGTATAAACAATGTGCAAATTAAATCAACCCAATGCTTTACCTTATATCTTCATGAATATGTGAACTATACAATGCTTTAAACATGTGATTTCACTTACAAATGGACATTTATGCAAACGTATGAATGTTGAGTTTCTTGCTTTTTTGCAAAATATGACCTAAAGCTATTAAGACAAGTCACACCTGTTGAACTGTAACATTTTATTATTACATATTTAATGAAAAGTCAGCCATTTTGTTATAAATATTCATTTTAGGTAATAGGGACGATTTTACTTTTTTGTGAATTTCACTAATACAAACTATTTTAAGCCTAAAATGACTTTTTCTTAGAAAAATATGTATTTTCAAAAATGGATGATTTAAATCTGCTATTTCATCTTATTTTTGGTTTCTCTGTGTTTAACTTCATTAGAAGCCTTAAACCCGTCACTTTCAGAATCCGTAAATAACTCACAATGTCCCCGGGGAGACTTGGTCCAGCCACAAATACTGAACCATCATCCATCTTTACTGCAGCACAGTTAGATTTTTTTTAATCACTTCCACGAGAATCACCTGTCCAGAGTGTCCACAAATCAAACCTGCCATGCCTCATTAACATGGAAAAACAGGTCACAACAGGTGTTCATGGGGAGCTGATTATGGTATGATTAAGCATGTTCTTTCCAAAGACGGTATGTCAGCATGCAATCTAACTAGAGTGTCTTTAAAGAACACAAACGCTATCAAGTGCTCTGTACTTATACGATGTGCAACACATTTGATTCTGTAGCTGAGGGGAGCATGTGTGCTGCTGATTCATGTTCTCATTGCTTTTTATGGATCCCCTCTTTTATTGATATTGATTCCGACTCCTGTGTTACTCTCTATGAATTTGAACCCGCGCTGCCCTCTGACTATACGAACCCCTCGGGGTGTCCTGTTATCTAGAGGGAGAGAGAAAAAAGAGGCAGAGCAATAGGCTGGGCCTTTTTCCACTTAATTGTTTCTATCTAAATCATGCTGCCATGGTAAAGAACTTTCCAACTATTTGAACACATCTCTGTAGAAAAACATCTAAGCACTGCATGGGAAACAGAAAAAACATGTAATTTTGATTATTTTCATTTTCAGTTTTCAAGACAACCATCATGATAAATATAGGGTCTCCAGAAACAGTTGCTATTGTGAGATCATTAATCATTTGTGTGTATTTTTTATTCTTACTCACCAAGCTAATCAAGGAAACTTTAGTAGTAGAAGCACCATTTCCTTTCTGCTAAAGCTTTTGCTAAAACTGATGGCAGAGGTGCAGAAACCACCTCAAAATTTGTGAGGAGATTCTCAAGAATTCCAGCAAAGATTCTTGGTAAAATCTGATACCAATAGTAATAGCAACAATATGCTTTGTGTACTCCTGGGTACCTACCAACCTCCGAGGCCATTACAGTGATGTTGTGCCAAGGTATGTCTTCTCTATCCAGCGGTTGTGTTGTACGTATGACTCCGCTGCTTTCATCAATTCGGAAGTATCTTACTCCGTCCTCTTTGCTGTCCAAGTAATATCTGTCAAAAAGATTAATGCATTTTCAGGTACTGAATTACAAAGCATTTAGGTGTACATAAACATCAGGCAATCATTGTCCCAAAGACAAAAAATAAGGCGCACGCAGATTAATTTGAGTGTAAACATATGTACCAAAGTGCAAAAGACATACACATACTGTACATATCAGTCAGGGGAGGCATGGAAAAATAATATATAATCATAAAATAATTTATATCGCTATTTTCACCCTCTCGTTTGGACTATAATGTACCTATTTTTCAATTAACTCAACAAATTGATGGACCTCTCGCTACCAGGACTGCCTGCCAACACTCAAACACATGAATATCAGACACACCAGATACTCTTTGCAGTCAACCAAGCGATGTCACAAATATCCACCTATCAAAGGTTGTTTGGGGGAAACGTGAAACTCTGTGGAGAAAGCAGAACTGGACCCTGAAACATTACAATATCCAAAAACAGATCAGTTAACCCACCAATGAATGGCTGAAGTCTAAGACCAAACATAAACTCAGCAGATGCTGTGAGGCGACTTCATGGATTCCAGATATAAAGGTGATTTAATGTTCCAAAACTTTTATTCATTGCTTGTGTTACATTAAGATGTAACATTTCTCCTTAATGTAGACTTTGGCAATAAAAGTCCAAATAGTTATTTTATGTTAAATTTATAAATTATAATATACACAACATCGGCATGCAGCCTATATTGAAAGATAAAAGTTTTAAAAGTGAAATTAGAATTGGCTAAAAAGAAAAGTTTGAGTTTTAATAACTGCTTCAGTTCAACTCTCTGACCTCTAAGACAGAACCTAGCAAAAACATTCACACCCCTTAAACATTTCACACCTAAATCTTCATGTATTTTATATAGATTTTATGTAATATATGTGCAGTCGATGTTTAAAATAGATTCAGAAATTGTACAGTTCCAGTTAATTTCACACCAGTTCATTTTTCTTTGTAAAATCTCTTTTTTTCATTATTATACTGTGAAACAGGGTAAAAGTTCAATGGGTTTCACCAATACTAATATAAAATATAAAATTCTCACTAAAGTCATGCTTACTTTGTTTTCTCTGTTTTAAAACAGGCCTAAAATAGTATCGGAAATCAAATGCACCCTCCTCCCTTAGAGACGACGCAAAACTCAGCAGTGACTGATTTTACAGACGAGACAGTGTCTCACCAAACTGGCAGCTAAATTTGCGTATAAAATGATTTTCAGAAAGCTGGTTCATATGCGCTTCATAACCCACCTATCAGGACTCGGCTGCTCTGCAGAGCAAACTGAGATAAAGGAGAAAAAGTCAGTCAGTCCTTGCATTTTATGGACTTTGTTTTTATCCCTTATTCTCTGAAAGGGTTTTTATAGCTTGTCCTACACATTAATGGATTCCAAGTCAGATGCTGAAAACAGACAAAGTAGCTAAATTGTAAACAATGAGACGCTGTGATTCTGCAAGTCACTGCGTTTCTTCGAGGCACAGACAGAAAACAAAAGGCGGTCTGCAGTCTGAGTGAGAAGACATATACACAAGGCAAAGCTTTATCTGACAGCGAGCAGAACTGTTTGAATTTATTTAAAATATCTTTATACAACAGAAAAAGGAGATAAAGCATAAAAAATGTGTGTATGGACTTAAACCTTCCACATTTATGCATTTCATCCTCACATGCACAGGTTAAAAGATTCAGTAAAAGACAGAAAAAGTAAATGTCCTAAAGGCGTAATACTAATCCAGCTTAAGATCCACAAACACATGGCATCGTTAGTCCTGGAGGGTTTTTTTCTGTCTCTTCAATATAAAGAGGTCAAAGATTAGGATGGCAAAACAATGACAGAAAAGATAAAACAACATTATACTTTTATTCAGAGCTGGGCAGAGGGTTCATGAGTTCTCTTACAGTCAACTCTCGCAAAATAAATCTTTATATTTTCAATGTTTGCTGCTTTTTTCTTTATTTACTTGCAGGTTTTCTCCCTCACTACGTCTTGTGCTGCTGCCGCCCACTCGATAAAACAGACAGAAATGGCAGCTAATTTTACAACAGAGATACAAAGTGAGACAGAAACAACCGTAGCTATCAAATGCTGTGAAAGTCAGAAATGGTCTTCGGTGAAAGCTGCAGACCAAAACCAGCTTCGTGTAATCATCATTTTGGGGTGTAAATCCGTTATTGACACCAAAAAACATTAACTTGTTGGCAAAAATCAGCTGGGAGTTTTATTTTAAGCATTTGGGTTGTTTTTAGAAGTAGCAGAAACCCAAATGGAAGAAAAAAAAAATTACAAAATCTCAATTTTGTGTGATAACTAAGCCATGTTGTCACAGATTTCAGGGGATTTTAAAAAATCATTTGGTACTAGCACTGCAATTCAGAGACATAATATACAATGTGCATAGACCACATCTAAGATTTTGAGGAAATCAGCTTATATATGTACATTTCCAGCTTTTTTAATAAAAAATTGTAGCAGCGGCTTATAGTATGGTGTGCTCTATAGTCCAGAATATACGGTAATCTCCGTGTTTTAAACATTGAATAGAACTTCTGACTTCTAAGATCACATGTTTGATCTATATCGTCTGGGGCGTGTATGCGCCGTGAACGGAGTCACATTAATTAACCAACACGATGAAAATGTTAGAAAAGGTTGGTAGACATTGAGTCATATTTGCAATTTTGTCCTCAGCTTACATTATCGAAGTCCTGAATCTTAAACTGCATGAATGTTGTGACAGATTTGTTCTGCTGAAACAAATTATATGAAAGTCTTTCATGTAATTACTTTCTTTCATATAATTACTTTTCTAGTTAAAAAAAAAAGCTTTTACGAATGATTTACATTTAGCTAATTTTAAACAGAAATTAACGTGTTAAAAGGTCAATGTCAGTTTGTTGTTTTACTCAACAAAATAAACATATTTTTTAAAACTCTAACAGCGAAGCCAAAAGCTCTTACGTTTCACTAAATCGGTTGATGGTTTGTTTAACCCTTTTTACTCTCTTTTTAGTTTACTACATCTAAATTATAAATGTAATTTTTGCAATTGGTTGTACAGTGTGACAGCCCCATATCCTTTCCTGGCTAAACAGTTTTGTAGCTTCTTCAACCCAGAAATCTCCAGCACTCGCAGCAGCTGACCTGTGAGAAGCAGAGAGAGGCAGGAACACAAACAGGAAGGTTTTACAAAATAATCTGAAACCAAGCCTGGTGAACTGTTCCCATTTTGGTGGCAGTCAGCGTTGTTTTGTCAGTTTGCTTACTTTAATATAAAGTTCCTGAGAATAGTTTTCTCTTATCTGTACTTCTTCGACATTCCTCAGTGACATTGTCATGAAACACTTTTGTTATATTTACTGCTGCTCCAAATCCAAAGGGAGGCGGCTCCGGGTAACCCAAAGTCAAAAGCCAGGAGAGGTCAGGTAACTTGTCCAGTAAGGAGCAACCTCAGGGCCGACTGGACCGCTGCTGAAGCCAAAGTCACTGTCCTTCCAGTCAAGACAGGAACAAAGCAGATATTTAAGTGGATCCAAATCAATAAACAGCCTTGTTTGACCCACAGTATTCCTGATCTTTCTCTGATGTTCCAGTTTAGTCCGATGGAAGCCCAGGCGCTTTCTGAAACTTTCCTTTCTTCATTTTTTCCACTCATAAACCCTGAAATTACCATCTGATATTATAACTCAGAATTGGACAGTGATTCTTTAAACTTCAGAGAAAACCAAGCCAAAGTTTTGAGAAACGTGAAACTTGTAGTCATCTTAGATAATATTCTGAAGATTATTAGGAGGTATTTTTTTTATTCCTAAAACGACCTTCGCTTAGTTTCATTTCCTCATTTGTTAGAAATGTTTAATAATTTATTCATAAGGAAATACACATAAGGTCAATAAGAGTAGCACTTGACTATGTACTTAATTTGAAACAATTAAGTACATCCATAAACTCAATTTATAAACTACAATAAATATAAACCATGAATAAAAAACACTAGTAGCAGTAACCACATTTTGGTACTGAAGAAACATAAAGTTGTGACATTTTTGAATGCTGCCAGAGTCTTAAACTAGACCATGCCGATCTTATGATCCCTGCCTTTTCCCTTTATGCCTCCATGATGTTTTCCTTTTATTTGTCCCAAGCTGCCTGTCAGTTACAGAAGGAATGATCTGTCAAAAACTCCCTCAACCATGTTTGAACTCAGCGCGATAAAATGCTCTTTGTTTAAAGAAAGTGGGAGTTAACTGCCTGGTTCAGAGGCTTCCACTTGTTGCTTCACATGGTTGTGATTTCTTAGTGTTACGACAGCTCAAAAAGCAGAAGCATAAATGCCTGACTTGGCTGACTGTCATGCTACCTGTCATACACTTTCACTGCCCTCAGCATATCAGAAACATCCACTACCACAGCATGTGCGACACGAACTACCACACAGAACTCCGGGAAGTTTTATGGCCAACAAAAGTGTCACAAGACACACCTGTGCTTGTCAATGTGCTTTTTTTACAAAAATGTGCATTATGAAGGGGCATGTTGTGTTGGGTACAACAGGTGCCACATATGCGGCGGTTACTATATGGAGTCAACTCCTGACCTTCTTCCACATCTCCCTTCTGATTCCTTGGATAAAGGTCAAAACTGCCACAAAAGTTGCATTAAAGTCAAGTTATTTCTTACTACAGAGAAAGAGTATCAAACTCAAAAGAACAATGTGCTGAAATGAAGACAAATCAGAAGGCCTTCCTTGATATCTACTAAAAAATATTTCAGTTACAGCTACATTAACTCCACACACTGGAAAAACAGGCCTCTCCTTTACTAGAGATGCACCAATCTTTAGCACACTTAAATACAAATAAGTTTGTAATTCAGTACATTTATGTCCATGTCTTTTAACTTTATGAACAGATCCAGTGAACGCTTGATTGTTCCCATTACAGTATATCTGAATTCACCCATTGGCAGATTTTTCTGTGGAATCTTTCAATCAAATCTGCTTTTTATGGAGCATATGTAATATTATGCTACAGGCTGGCATTTGATAAGCAGCCAATCCAAAAGGAGCCATTCATTTTCCATGCTGCTGACTTGACTGTGCCCCCAAGAGCTGTAGATAATTTCTGCTTAGATGGTCTCCACTGAGTATTAATGCAAAATTTGGTGTTATTAACTATTTATTGCAATTATTGGTTTGTCTCTGTAGTCCCAAATTTCTGTAAAGACTGGGTGTCCACTGGAGATGGCTTCCTGATGGTCCAGAAAGCTTCTGCTTTCCAACTTTTGTTTGACCATTTGTGGTAGATTCTATCTCACAGCATTCTGAGTTTTGCAATATTAGATTTAAGCTGCCTATTAGAAAACTGGCTGTAATAGAGTCTTAGAAATAATGTGAAGGTCAAATAGGATACACAGCAGGCAGAATTTGGCCTGCAGGCTTGACTTTGACACAAACGCTACGAAGCAAATCCAGGAGCAGAGAGGATGGCGAACACTTCTTGAAGCAAAGCTTTTATGTTGCTATTTTCTGCTGCAGCAATCGAATGATCAAGAGAATCCCATTATGGAATGACAGTGGGTCTACTTTCTTGCAAATAACCCAATGATACATCAACCACCAACAGTTTATGTCTTTCTGTTCATAAATCTTAAGAGCTTTTTATGGACACTGTGGCCTCTGCAGCACATGCCAGATGTACCAAATAATATCCCATTACACGCTGCAACAACAGAAGACTGTTCCTTATCGATATAAGACCAATGCATCACCTCTTAAGGAGCATCAGGTTCACAACTATTCCATCAATTTTGTCAAGAACATGAAGCAAATTTAAATCATTACAAGAGCTGCAGTTGCTGGAGTGTAATGCCAAGGAACAAGGCACCTGTTCAGCATGCTGCCTAAGGCTAGTATGAATTTTTATTTTTTCCTCCCCCAATTTCCCACCAGCATACAAGCATCTGTTTGGAGTGCATATAAATGTGCAGAGTAATTGTCTTGCCTCAGGTTACTTCTCAAGCTTGCAGGAAAAATAAGCAGATACCTGGTGAAGCCAAAAAACTAACATGATCTCCCTGTGAACCCTCAGAATGTTCTGAAAGTTAAATAAAATGGAATATAACAGTAAAGTTTTTAAAAATAACATTACAAATTTTACTTCACTGAAAAACAAAGACACATTTAAAACATGTCAAAAGGAACATCCTATGCTATGCCACAAACTTGAATTTATCCAAAAACAGAAAGTAGCATAGTTTTGAGGAGAAAGTACAATTTAATGTCAAAGTCACTGAAAACACGGCATACAGTAGTAGATGATCAAAGGATGATGAAACTGTCAGGTACTGTGTCACACCTATTTTCTATGTTTTAAAAATGATTTTCATACAATAGACAAGTTTTTCCAAGATAGACAGTTCTTTTGTTCTCTACTCATGAACTTTTCTGAATTGTGCCAAATTCATCATCAGGAGAACAATTGATGCAGAACACCTGAAGAGAATAAAACGTCTGTTGACATCTTAGATAAGCTGCAAAAAGAAAAAAAAAAGCTATTAGGCTTATTAATAAAGCGGAATATCAGGAACCAATTAATAAACTTTTAAATCAAAGTAATATTTTAAAATGTAAACTAACTGAATATGTAAATACTTCCAATGCTTTATACTTTGATGTATAAGGCATTAATGAATAATTCTGTATTTAGAAATAATTAAGACAAAAGAGAGTAATTATTATTTGTGAGGTTTGTTTGGCATCTGAACATGCTAAAGAGAAAAGTCAAGTAAAATCCAGATGTGTTTCAGCGTCAATCTGTGGAAATTAGATGTTTCTGATATACATATACATGTTTTATACCCATATTTGTATTTTGAGAATGTGTATACATATGTATACATATTGTAGGGAGCACAGGGTTCTTAAAACTTTGTCCATTACTGAATATGTCCTTCAAGTGTGAGCTTTGGTTATATAAAACAATTTTTGAGATAAAAATAATCTGTTTGGTTCGCAGGTTCCCTAATCTCCAAATACAAAACACTTTTTGATTTAAGACAGAATCAAATCACCCAAATACTCTTTATCTGCTGCAAGTCAGCAGAAAAAGTGCTGAGTCTCCAAATAACCTAACTGCTTTATCAAGGTTGGGCTTTCTTTGCATTTGCAGTTTGTAAGTCTAAAGGAGCAAACAATCAATCTTTCAGAACTTTTTGCTCAGACTGTACATTCTGATTCAATGTGATCGAGTCTCCTACCTTACGGGACTGTTTCTGCTGTCTGGGTCTCGAGCCGTAACCGACCCCACTTCAGTTCCACTCGGTGAGTTCTCGTAAACATCCAAGATATAATAATCCATAGAAAAGACGGGGGCTTCATCCACGTCGCCCACCGTGATTTTAAGGGTAGCAGTGTCTTTGAAAGCACCAAGGTAGGAAAATCGTGGATCAACATGTGTATTCATTCCTTCGATGTGCAACGTGTAGGTCTTCTTTCTCTCATAGTTCAGGGGCTGCAGGAAAAATAAAACAACACTAAACTTTGTTTATGGCACAAAAGAAAGCTATGAGAATTCTATATAAAAATGAAATCAAGAGAACACATTAATAAACGTTTTATTCAATCAAATATCTTGAAACTAAGTGATTTGACTCGTTTGAAAATCCTATTATGTTTAAAGATAGAGAGAGACTATTGCACATTAATTTACAAAAGTTCTGCCTTCAGTTCAAGTGACAGAAATAACAGAAGGAAATATAATTTCAAAAGCAAAGTTGGGCATATTACTTGAAAACAAATGTGCATTTCAGTGCATGGAGTAAAATTATGGATTTTTTTTAATGATGACTTGAAAAATGTCCCACCATAAATCAATTCAAAACACTTTATGAGTAAAAATGCTTAAGTCTTATAGACTTTTGAGTTAAAAATGAGAATGATCTACCGTTTGCAACTCATATTGTTAATTTAATTTACACGTCCACGAAATTGTTTTTGTAACTATTGAGGAATAGGCAGGTTGAGTCAAGATTTTTCTTTCTTTCACTCATATAGTAAGTGTTATGAGAGAATATATTTGTAAAGTAATGATGCACATTGTTCACTGATTGATATATTTTATAAATAGCTGCCATTTAGAGATGATATTTAATCAAAATCAAAATCCCCTTTTAAAGAGTATTTCCTTCACTCTGTAAACATTGTAGGTGTTTTATAAAGCATGTTGGATACAAGAACATTTAAAAAGCACAATATATTAGCCCCTCATCATGGAGACAATTCTTAACAAGGCTGCTAAAGGTCACAACAAAATCCTTCCAGAGTGAAATAAAAAACTCAGACCAAGAGCACCAGTTGGAAACATTAATTTCTAAGACACAATAGCTGAGAAATACTTTCTCCTTGAACATGGCAAAACTGGTTTGGAAAACTGATGGACAGACAGATGGATTCAGAATACGGAGAACGGCCGGTATTTACATGGCTCAGGGACAAAGCCACAGAAGAAATGGCTGAAATCTGCGAATCTGTGAATGCTTCTGGATACTTTAATAGTTCAAACATCAAATATCCCCGAGTAAGCATTAATACACTCCAGGGAAACCATGTCATTACTTCTGCAGAGGCTCAACTCTTGTTTTCCCAGGTCCACTTAATCAACAATAAATGGTCCAAAAGTGTCAAGTAGCATTGAACCCAGGTATTCCAGCTTCCAGCTGCATTTTCATTAGAAAATTTTAGATATTCTGAATACAAAAAATTCTACAAATAGGTAACTCTACAAATACTGAACCACAAATAAGCGGTGATCCAGCATACAAAATGAGCCACTTAAATTAAAATGTGAAAGTAGATCTCCAAAACACTTGTAAAAAAAGAATGCTACTTTCTTCTTGTGGTCAAACATTTTACACTGCAGAGTATTTAAGCAACTTTTCATTTCAGAAATCTGATTTCAATTTTAAATTTCTTTTACCGTCCAAGTACAAATAGCTATAGTACATTTTTATTACATGTAAAAACCCCAAACTGAAGTTTAAATTCAGCACAAGATACTGAAGGTCAGAACTTCAAGCTTGTTATAGCAGATGAGGTTCTGGGTCTAATGATCCTTTCAGGAATTGGCATCTCCACCCAAACTTCCTTTCATTTGGTGCCTGTAAACAAACCATTTCCTACCCATTGATACCAGGCTTTTCCCTCTCCAGTTGCACTCTCTTACCTTTTTCAGGCTGATGATTCCCTCCTTTGTGTCTCTGTCTGTGGATATGGAGAACATATTGGCGCCCTCTGAGTTGATGATGCTGTACTTAATGTCTGCATTAACACCAAGGTCTTCATCATTGGCTTTGATCTTCCCCACTGGTTTTCCAACTTGAGCGGATTCTGGGACATACAGCTGGTAATTTTCTGTGAATGAACATTGATTTGTATTCACTAGGAGAAAGTAAAAAACTAAATCTCCACTGCACCAAACAGCTGAATATCTGACTGTTTAGCTAAAAGCTTCGCTAAGCAGTTTGACTCTGTCACTATTTGTTCCTGAGGGAATGTCAGTAAAATTCTCTGCAGTGCTTCAATTGACATTAAGTGCTAAACTGTGGTTGATAGCACTGCAATGAAGCAGATATTTATTCAGGGAAACGTTGATGGTTCTTTGCTGCAGAATAAATGGGAAACTCGTTGCTGAAGGGCTATATTCTTGATGAGGCTCTGTCGTTATTTAAATTTTTCATTAGAATCGAGAGAATTCAGTCTGGGAAGCAGAGTGGTCTGAGCAATATCCATCTGGTTTTGCAAATGATAGAAAACAAAATACATTTTGACTTCTGAATTCAGAAAGTTTGATAAATGACAATAAGAATTAGTGACTGTCATTCTGTCCCTATTATTGAAGTTTGTTTCTTGCTTTAATAATGTTTTTAACATTGCATTTCAGAGGCAGTCCTTTCATTTATGGATGAAAGGATTGCACAGTTTATAAAAATACTCTTCAGGTTATAAAGCTGCATCAGGTAATTTTTGTTGAAGACTTCTTTTAGCTCAAAGCTGGAGGTATTTCAGAGCAATGCTGTGCTCAGTTTTACAACAAGCATGGCTTTGAAAAATTATTTTAAGCAGGAAGGAAAAGGCAAAAAGTACTACATATCAACCATTAGCTTCACATATCCAACCTAAATGGGACAATTTGTTCATGTTTGGTAAGAACTATTTATAGAAATCAGATTTTTTAAAAGTGATGATTCCACTTTTATAGTACTTACTTTGGGGAAACTTGGGTGGGTTGTCATTGACGTCTGTCAGGGTGACGTTGATAGTGGTGGAGCCAGAGAGCCCTCCAACTTGGCCTGCCATGTCTTTGGCTTGAATCACAACGGTGTAGTGTTCTTTGGCTTCTCTGTCCATGTCTGCTAAGGCGGTTCTGATAATTCCTGCAAATTCAATGCAAAAAAAAAAAAAGAAGCAATTTAGAATAATAAAGATAATATGTAGAACATCTAAACATTTGTTGTTTAAAAATTGCAAGGTCAATGACTTTTTTTTATCATGCACCTCCTGATTCTCATGAAGGAGGTTCTGCTTATGTGAAATAAATTTGTTCATTTGTGATGGATCTTTGTGAGCGGTGCTCACAAGGTTCCATGCACGACAGTGTGACTCACATATGAACTCCCATTCAAAAGAAGAGAAAACCTGAGTCACTACAAGAGTCAAGGAAGAAAAAAATGACTTTTTTGTAAATACAGTATCTGAGATCGACTAAAACCTCGTTTCACACACTTCTTGCAAAGGAAACAAAAAACTGACCCAAAAGATTCTGTAATAGAGTGAATAAAAAACTGGGACATGCTTTAGAGAATCTAGGTAACGTTAAAAGGTTCATTTTGGACTAATTATCATCCAGAATGAACACAAAATAATATGGTTATATGACAGAGCTTTGTGTATTTTGCATCTATCTACAAGTTTTGGGGTGTACATTTTTACAAACTTTGATTTTCGAATAATCTTTATTGAATAAGTAACTATCCAGTGATAAACACTGTGTTGCTGCTAAAAATATGACCAACAAATAATCTGGGAAAAAGTAATAAAACCTACATTTTGCCACTGCAATGTAACTAAAACTATTAAGTTGACAGTGGGTGTACGTTTGTTTTATGATGAATAAAAATATATTTTTTTATTATTATAAAAGTAGAATAAAATATTTGTTAATATATTAACTCTAAATATACTATTTTGTGAATAATATTATTCATAAAACAGATGTTTATTTTCTCCCAAATTTTCAGGTTTATTTTATAGCACTAAATGTAATAATGTGCCCCTTTCATCTTTAATTTTGTAGATCCTTGATTGCTTTTTCCTTCCGATTCTATTATATATAAATACGCTTTGCAATCTTCAATCATATTACACTGTAACACCCTGAGGTACTTGCACTGTCGCATTTAATCATAATGCAGAAAACACAGGATGCTGAGCCATGAACCTTCATAATATGATATACGGTTGCATCTCTGACTAAAACGAAAATGTTCCTTGCGACACAGCAGGAGCCTAAAACAAAAAATGAATTTGCTCCCTGTGTTGACTTTTTAAAAAGGTTTTTGTGACATGAGTGGCCTCTATTTGCAGTAACCAGACAGGAAATGGGCAGAGATACAGCAAGATTTTATAAGGTCAATGTGTGCTACTTTATGTCTTCCAACAAGACATAATTTACAGCCTTGGTTTTTGCACACACAAAAAAACTCCACACAGGACAAGATCCATATGTTCACACTGGTGTTGTTATATATTGTGTTGTTGACTGGCACCAGGACGTTCTGGTCACCACTGACCTTGTGTTCTGCAATAGATTTAGAGATTATACAGAAACACTGAGACCTTGAGGTAAACAAAAAATGGATACAAAGATGACTAAATGGATGTTAGAGCGCCATGTTAGAGGTGTCAAAAAAAAAAATGCCATCATTCTTTTCTTATTGGTATGTTGATAATTATGTGAGAAAAATTATCACAAACATTCTGTGACTCTACCTTGGCCCTAAGAATCTTGAAATGTTATGGTGACTGTACAATGTTTTTATGACTTTGAACTTTTGCGCTTTTCCAATAAAATGAAAGCGTATCAAATTTATTAAGATGTCTTTGAAATGCTCTGTCAAGCTAAAACTCAAACTATTTTATTGTACTCCCTTTCAATCCAAGCGGCTCGGATTTCACCAAACTCCACTTAGGAGTTAATGGATTCAGTTTGATTATTTCCTGTACTTCACAAAAGAGCTAGACATTGGCGTGTTACACGATAGATCATTTTCCTCTCTTGTGCTTTCAGAACTCTAAAGACAGAAAGTAATCCTTTTGCCTCAGGCTGAATAATCATTAAAAGTGGGTCAAGAAGCCAAGCAGGCAGCAGTATTAAGATCTGGGGGATCTGAGGTTACACATCATCTGTCACAGTGAGCCTGGCTGACGTCCAGGCAACCGCTAGTAAGCCTGGATTTACCAGGAGGTAATCAACATAAAAGGCTAAATATAGGCTAACTGGCATGGTGGATGAAGGTCTATCAAAACAGAAAACTTAGAAAGCTGTAATCAAGATTTCACATGTCGGATGATTTTGCAATTTTAATGTAACCTTTCAAATATAAACCTGTCAAGTTGGAGACAAGCGAGCAGTAAACAGAATGTTCTACTCTTGTATTAGTAGTGGTGGTGTGAATAAGGAGCTCAGTGATTCATCCTCTTTATGATCGTTCCAGACAAGTTTTCAATATAAAATGAGACAAAACACTCCATTCATAAAGGCCACAAGTAAACCTCGAGGCTGTGTTGTGTAAAATAAAGAAATAATAGGTTGAACCACTTTTGCTCTTGATAAAGTTCATGGAACTGGTGGCAGTTCTTTTTCAAGCGCCACCCTCAGTAGTAACAAATGCTTTCACAGTGTCATTCTGTCCATATTACCTCCGCTTGAGAAGATGTAGCTGGAAGTAGGGCAGCAAAGGAAGCTGCTTTTATTTCTAGGCATATAACAGAATTTAATGTACTTTGGCTCACAAGCAGAATCCTCACTGACCGTGGTTGATATCTTGTATTGGCTCCATTTTCGTAGTTTCATTTTACTGTTTAACTGCAGATCCATTTTACTTTCTGATTTACACTGCAAGACAAACGCAAACTTACCAAGCATTAATGTCAAGCTTACAAACAGATTTATGTCAAGCTTTTAAAGAAAAAAGCTTATGATTTCCAAATGAGACATCCATTTTTTTCTTTTTTTTTTTACAAATATACCCTCAAATTCTGTTGATTAATATCACATAAAAGATCCAAGACGAGACGCAGCCATGGGAAAGTCAGAAATGCTCCATCCAGAGAGGAACCTTAAATCTGAGCCTAAACCAGAGCTGAGGATGAGACATAAACGTTTATGTTTCTAGAACATAACTAAAACAGCGTAGTTCCCTCCATGATGTCGACATATATTGCAAAAACATTCAATTTTACCAACTAATTTTGGTCTAGTTTCCAGTGAAAATATCAGAGAACATTTGAAATAAAACAAATCTAACATACAAGTAACTTTTCATCAAGATATTTGAGCTTATTTTAAGTCAATAATTCCTTAAAATTGATGAAAAATTGTGCTTACAGAAGAAAAGTGAAGACACAACCCATCCTTCAACAACATATATAGAAACTGCATGTTTTAAACCGCAAATTATTACTGCTGGACTTGGTAAAGTGCAATAATGTGAAAAGACGTGAAATTCTCTTATACTTTTAAGGCTTTGATAAACTGCAGAGCATGGCAAACTGAAAGGGTAATAGGTTCTAAGAAAAAGAAAAGATGCAATGCTTTATATAATACAATGCCGTTTTTTCCAACTCCCACTGGGAATGAAAATGCACGTTCAACTCAACATTTTCAAGACTCACAACCCGAGTAGCTTATTGTCGTCAAAGTGTTCTGCTGAAATGCCAGGTCTCAGCAGGGATCTGCTGTGGTTCTTTGTTCCAAAAACTAATCAAAGTGGTGCTAACAACTTTCCTGTAATGATACAAGCCCTGCAAACTCCCTTGTTATTACCCTCAGCCTTAGCAACATTTGACCTTAAGTCCTTGAGACACATTACTTGGAAAGTGGTCAAAGTTTTTGAGTAAAATCCACACCAAGACGGACGACCTGACCTTTCAAATTTCATATTACCTCTTTGTTCATAAAGGTGTGACATTCATGAACAATATTTCACAGCTGGAACCAAACCAATAAGCACATACAGAAAAAATTTATGAGATTTTCTTTCTGTGGCTACGAGAATTGTGCTTTCATCCACAGTGAGCAGCGAGAATGACCAACTGTGAGTCACACAAAGTGAAACAAATAGTCTTTTACAAAGGATTTCACACCTTTAAACTTTTTCAGACTTTTTTCCATATTTAAACCCAAAATGTACATTCAGAATATTGAAGATCAGCTTCAAGAAGGTCAAATAGCACAGCAGATCAGGGAGAAAGATGTGGAGACACTCAAATTAGAGATAGTTATTAAATCAATAACATCGCAGGCGGGAGAGTCTATTGACGGGACGTCTCTGGGCTTTAGAGGAAAACATTGTGAGAATAAAACAGTAAATCAACAATAAAAATGCGGAAGACGTTTCTCTCATTAGATGAGATTTAAAATCTACCTTTTTTGTTTCTGTGGTGGATACGTTAAACTGCACATTTCTCAAAACAAGGGTTGCAACAGATAAAAAAAAATACTATGAGATGTTCATATTAAATTCTTGCACATCTATGATTATGAAATTGCCAACACTCTATGGCCTTTGATGTATTTGATAGTTATAAATTAAATCCAATGTACTGGATGTCCATCCGTCCATTTTCTTAGACCCTTGTCCCTAGAGGGGTCGGGAGGTGCTGGTGCCTCTCCAGCTAACGTTCTGGGCGAGAGGCGGGGTCACCCTGAACAGGTCGCCAGTCTGTCGCAGGGCAACACAGAGACAGACAGGACAAACAAACATGCACACACACTCTCACACCTAGGGGGAATTTAGAGAGACAGTTATGTTTTTGGACTGTGGGAGGAAGCTGGAGTACCCAGAGAGAACCCAGCATGCACAGGGAGAACATGCAAACTCTGTGCAGAAAGAGCCCAGGCAAAGGGGCCACTGTGCAGCCCCCATACTGGATGTAATCAAGTATATCATATTGCAATATTATCATTGCATTCAATAATTTTGCAAAAAACAAAACAAAAAGTGTTTACATATGGGTTCTAGTGGAAATATCTTAATACACTTGGAATAATAAATTAGTGTTGGTGTGCCACAGAAAATGAAAATGACACTGAAGTTCAAGGGGTTTGAATACTTTTAACACAGTAAAAATGTCAACAAGATTTATTTGGTTG